TAAGTAGAGGAAAATAGAGACAAGAATGGAGGGAGAGGAAGCTAGTAAAGGAAGCAGAAGAGATGAGCAGGAGAGGAGCAGGAGAGGAGAGAAGGAAAACAGGAGCAAGAGAGGAGAGAATGAACGCAGGAGCAGGGGAGGGGAGAAAGGAAACAGAAGAAATGAGCAGGAGAGCAGGGGAGTAAAGAATGAGCAGGACAGTAAAGAATGAGAGAAGTAGAGTATTAGAGTAGCCATAGAAATGATAATAATAAAGCATGTAATAAGAAGATTTTTAATTTATCATGACCCATGATTCCGTGTATTCAGCCAACGCCGCACCCGCTTTCAAAAAAACCCTGGAATAAGTTTGCTGGGGCTGGCTCCCGGCAAACCACTGTATCACCAGTGCTCCTTCTATTACCAAAAAATGTTCCCCAAAACCCACTGCCACCAAGTGTATTCCATTTATAGGGACCCGACAGAAGGTTTTCCGAGACTGTGAATCTTTAAAGGAGCAGAGAGCCTACTATTTCTCCCTCAGGGCAGCCCAGCATGTAACCCACAGCCCTTGCTGTTGTTGTTGTGAAGTGCCATCGAGTCAGTTCCGACCCATAGTGCCCCTGTATAGCGTTTCCAAGGAAAAGCTGGTGAGCTTGAACCACCGACCTTGCAGTTCAAATGGCTTTGCAGTCTGGTGCATTAACCCACAGTGCCACACTTCCCTTACATCTGGTTACCTCTCTAAGTGTCCAAGAGCAAAGATGCCAGTTTGAGGACTAATGTGCACCTGACCCCAAATCATGGTATTTTCAATAGCTTCATATGCATGTGAAAGTTGGGCAGTGAATAAGGAAGATCATAAAATTAATGCATTTGAGTTATGGTGTTGAAGAAGAATATTGAAAACTACCATGGACTGCTAGAAAAACAAGCAAGTCTGTGCTGGATGAAGTACAGCCAGAATGCTCCTTACGAAGCAGGATGACAAGACTTCGTCGCTCATACTTCGAACATATTACCAGCAGGGATCAGTCCCTGGAGAAGGACATCGTACTTGGTTAAAACTGGAGGATCAGCAATAAAAAGGAAGATCCCCAACAAGATGGACTGGCACAGTGGCAGCAGCAATGAGCTCAAACTTAACAATAATTGTGAGGAAGGTGTAGGACCAGGCAGTGTTTCGTTCTGTTGTGCTTGATGGGGCTATGAATCGGAACCAATTCAACGGCATATAACAACTAACAACATATGGTTACCTACTAGACAGATTTTTATCTGCAGATACCAAGAATTAAAGTGGATTAATATTGAAATATCACAGAAGAGCAGCACAAACGAGGGACATTTCAGTAATGAATACACAACATTTCCACTTGTATCTCATTGCCTGGATTTTGTCTTATGGCCTAGTCTAGTTTTACAGGGAACACTGGGAATGTAGTCTTTTAACTGAGGAAGCAGATACTACAGTTCAGTTCCTCTGAAAGAAGAGAGAGAGAGTGAATTTTAGGAGACAATAACCAATGTCTATGCAGGAGGCAGAGTGTTGGGATTGTCACATTCCCCTGGTTCCCCTCTTGCAGGAGTCTGAAGAATCAGCCTTCCTGAGTTGCCATTTCTCAGTCACACATACAATAAGCTTTCACATAGAAATTGTTTATTGTAAAGCGAAAGCGGGTCACTTCAAAGAGAGAAGTGGGTCTGTCTCCGCCAGTGGAGAAGCTTGGATGAAGTATAGCTTTCTCTTTCTGGTCTCAGATGCCTTCCCCAGGGGCAGGTCTGATGCCATCCCTCACTAATTACGTCTTTATCAAGGGTAGGGATAGTTATATGATTTTGAGTATAGAGGTACAGGCTTTTCAGAAACGGAGTGTAGCTACTCCTTTCTGTGTCCTTTATGTTTGTCTACCTGGTGTTGTTTTTTATGGGCTGACTCTGCACGATGGTTAGACTTTTAAGGGTCCTTCACTAGGTTCTTTCCCGTTGTGGCTGGTTGCGTTTCTTGCAGCTGGTATTATTTTTCTCTACCAGGGTTTCAGGTCTTATTTCTTTCTCCTGGCCCCCAGGCTGTCTCTCTTTGGGTCAAAGGAGGAGGAGGTCTCAGGATAGCTATAGTCGATCCGTGTCAGTGTTACTATTTTTGTTGGACTAGAGATGTCTCCCCCTTCTTCTGGTCTATGTCTAGAGAAGGAGGACCTAAGATTAAGGGGTGGACATAAAGCCAGTATAGGAGAGGCCTAGGGGTCCTAATCCGCCTTTGACAGTATGGTGCTGTAGGATAAGCACTAAACTGAAACCCACGAGTCATTCATTCCTAGGAAACCCTATCTAGGGTTTCTATGAATTTGAACCATCTTGATGACAAACACAACAAATACAGGAGGCATCAAAGATTTTTAATATCAAAAACAAACAAACAAAAAAACCCAAAAACATCTTGCCATCTGTTCAATCCCAATTCATACTGACCGTTTAGGGCAGAATAGGACTGCGCCATAGGGTTTCTGAAGCTGTCATCTTTAAGAAGTAGACTGCTTCGTCTTTCTTTCATGAAACAGCTAGTGGGCTCAAATTGCAGACCTTAGGGTGATCCTCAACTGCTTAACCACTTTGCCACCAGGGCTCCCAGATTTTAAATAGGGGAGTGATATACTTAGATCTGTGGCTATGGGGCATCTCTGGTGAAGACTGAAGGCAGCATTAAGGGAAAGTGTGAATAAAAAAAAGCTATGCCAGAGGGAGAAACAACTAATATATTATTAGTTGCAAGAAGATAGGAACCAATAGATGTTCACTGACCTTAACAGCTGGGAGAATATTGGAGGTGATCTTTAAGAAAGCCTTTCAGGAGTGATTAAGAAGCACACAAAGACTCCTGATGGCAAAATGACCTTGATCTGGTTCCTTTTATGGACCATGGAGCTAACAATCTGTTGCAGTAAAGAAAGCTATCTGCAAAAATACTTGTTGGAAAGGAATCCAGTGCTGGAGCAAAGGGCATAAAGGAAGTGAGGAACACAGGCCCCACAGATTGTGTCTGATACGGAGGAGAGTTTGCCGGAGGAGAAAAGAAAATGAAAGTCACGTCAACAGCCTTGCGAGGGAATGTTTCTAAGATCTCAGGTCTCCATTTTTGAAACTGTTGGGTCTTCAGGCCATTCATATAGTCCACTCTCTTCATTTCATTCAATTAATTCCCATTGCTTCCCTAAGAGAGGGGTCTTATTCTATACTCTTAACTTTGCAGCAGCGCCTGGCATTGGTAGGTGCCCAACTGACTCGACTGTATTCTTTAAGGAAACAGACTGCCACATCTTTCTCCCGTGGGGCAGCTGGTGCTAACCGTTCACTTAGCAACCAAGCATTTAATCAATGTGCCACCAGCGCTTCCAGATTTTTAATTGTTGTTGCTGTTAAGTGCCATCGAGTGTGTTTGGTCTCATAAGGACACTGATAAACTTAGGTTTGTGGATATGGGCATCTCTGATGAAGACTGGCAGCATCATTAGGGACGGATGTGGACACAGAGGGCAAAAGGTGAATTAAGACATGTATTCCTTTTGTTTCACGATTTCCAGCAAAGCACTCAACCTGATGAAAAGAGACATGGCTTGAGGCAGCAGCACTGTTTACCGACAAGCAACTGCCAGGACCTGCAAATAGCGAAGGAACCTCTGGGTTGTAAAACCCTACAGGTGGCCAAACCTGCCAGCAGCGGAACCCAAAGGCAATGGAACCCGGAGACGACGGAACCCTTAGGCAGCGGAATCCGGAGGCGACGGAACCTGTTGGCGGCGGAACCGTGGTTCCTGCGGAACCCTGTCAGCAGCGCCCAGGGGCCCACCCGGACAATGCTTGGGACGGAAACACAGCGGTCGCCGCTTCCTGGTTACGGGCCGCAGCCGGGGGCCGCGTCCAGCTTTTGCAATGTTACCCTATACGGTGAATTTCAAGGTGTCAGCCCGCACCCTCACTGGGGCGCTCAACGCCCACAACAAGACGGCGGTGGACTGGTGAGGGCGACGGGCCCGAGGCCGCCCAGGCTCGGCCAGAAGTTTGTGTGGGGAGGGAAGGAAAGAGGACTTAGCCCTTTGGTTTGGCCTTGCTAAGACAGAGTGTCGCGCAGACATAATGGAGACTTTCCTTTAAATGCTGCTGCTGCTGTTGTTATAAATGCAATAAATGCCTCATGGGGAAATTTCCCTTTGCAAATACATCCGTATATATGGCCCTTTGGCCCAGTTTTCTTGGTCTTAGCTGCAGTCCTCAGCCTGTTCCTCGGCATCACATTCCTTCCTCTCCTCCAATTCCGGGCTTTTCTCCTTCTACCCCCAGGACTCCACTGTCTCGTCCCCATGTTCTCATCTCTCTCTCAGCCCGGTGTTTCTCTCCCTTCCTCTTTCGTGGATGTGCCTGCCTGTTCTCAGTTGTCCTTTCTGGCTTTCCGTAGGACGTTCCCGTCCTCAACAGGTCGTTTCTTTTTCTATCTTTTCAGAGGAAAAATAACACTGCAATTCGGAAAAATTAACAATTGGACTAACGGAAAGGCACACTTCTGTAGCTGTGCCTCCGATAATGTTGTCGAGGACTGAGACCTCCTTAGGGGCTCAGAGTTCGTCTTGTTTTATCTGATTGGAAGGGTTGCCTCTAGCTACAGAGGTCACCCAGTATGGTGTCAAGCACTTTGTGGATGCTAAGGGTTCAAGGACACCCTGGTAGTGCCGTGGATTAAGTGTTGTATTGCTAACCAGCTGCAGCTTGGGAGAAAAATGAGGCCGTTTGCTTCTATAAGAATTACAGCCTCAGAACCATAGGAAGCAGTTTCACTCTGCCCTATAGGGTCTTAGTCCTGGTGTGGCGCTGTGGGTTAATGCGCCAGACTGCAAAGCCGTTTGAGCTGCAAGGTTGGCGGTTCAAGCTCACCAGCTGCTTCTTGGAAACCCTATACAGGGTCGTTATGGGTCGGAATCGACTCGATGGCACTTAACAACAACAATAGGGTCTTATGGAGCCCTGATGTGGCGCTGTGGGCTAATGTGTCAGACTATAAAGTCGTTAGAACTGCAAGGTCGGTTGTTCAAGTTCACCAGCCACTCCTTGGAAATCTTATACAGGGTCACTATGAGTTGGAACCGAGTCAACCACATTTAACAACAGCAACAACATAAGGTCTTGGTGTGGTGCTGTAGGATAAGCATTGGGCTGCTAACTGCAAGGTTGGCAGTTCAAACCCACCAGCTGTTCTTTGGAAACCCTGTAAAGGGTTGCTATGAGTTGGACTGGATGGCACTTAACAACAACAGCAATAGGATTGCTATGAATTGGAATTGACTTGATGGCAGTGGATTTGGTTTGATAAGGGTTCAAAACTAAGTAAGACCAGGCCTACCTGTGGCCTGAAAGACAAGAACACTGGCAACTGCTCCTGTGGTTGTATATAACCTCATGGCTGTTTATGCTTAGCTCTTAAAGCCTCTTTTGCAGAATGAAAAATGAATTTTAACAAGCATTTGTCAACTTTATTATGTTACATAAATATTGTTGTATATTATAATTGTTGTTACCTGATTTCTAGTTGGTTCTGACTCGGCTGCCTCTTATTTAAGTAGGGCAATGTAAAGGACTTACAACTTGTATTAATGATTGTGTTGTTAAGTGCGGTCGAGTTGGTTCTGACCCATAGCAATCCTGTATAGGGTTTCCAAGGAGCGGCTGGTGAGGTTGAACCACTGACCTTACAGTTTAAATCGACTTTACAGTCCAGCGCATTAACCCACAGCGCCACACCAGGATTCCTTGTTAATGATGGTACATTTAAATTAGATTTCTCCTTTATTTAGGATGTGTGTTGACAATAACCGTTAACTCTTGTGTTATTATTTTTTTTTTTCACATATGTTTACGTTTGACATTGCTGTTTCATTAGGGGCTGGCAAGGTTTAATTGCTTACGGATGCCATTCGCTTGTGGTAGTGATCGATTCCAATACTGCTCAGACTCTTCAAGTTTTAGAAAAGCACAAAGCTGACGTTGTCAAGGTGAGTCAAAGCCTACTTGAATCTCAGTATATTATATTTTCTATTCTTTGGTTTTAAGTGTCACTAAATTTTCATTTAGTCATATGTATAAAATGCTGAATAGTTTTTAAAAATATAGTCCATTTGGGGCAGGTTCACATTTCTTATTTACTGTAAATCCAGGATGAGCTATTAGAGGCACATTCTTGAGTTATTTTAAAGCGGATCCCCCCAAAAGCCCACCCAAAACAAGCCCACTGCCACTGAGTCAATTCTGACTCGTAACAAATCTATAGGGCAGAGTAGGATGGCCCCTTTGGGTCTGAGACTAAATCTTTATGGGAGTAGACAGCCTCATCTTTCTCAGTGGGTGGATTCGAACTACTGACCTTGCAGTTAGTAGTCTACAGTCCAACACTTAACCCACTTTGTCACCAGCATATTGTATGAGCCCTACTGTGGCACTATAGGATAAATACTGGACGGGTAACCGCAGGGTCAGCAGTTCAAACCCACCAGCTGGTTCAAAGATAACAGGGTTGTTATGAGTCAGAACCGACTCAAAGGCACTTAACAACATATATTAGTATACTAGGTAGTCTGTTCCTACAAGGGGAATTTCTGGGTCCATTGGTAATTCTGTGTTGGACCACAGAGTTTCACATTCTCACCAGCGTCACATGAGGGTTTCAGTGTCGCCACAGACTAGACACACTTGTTATTTCCATCATAGTGGGTGTGAAGTGGTGTCTCCTTGGTGGCTAGTGATGATGAGCCAATTTTCAGAATTGTATAATTTTAACTCTTATATTTGTATCTGATCCATTTTGAGTTGATTTAAAAACATTTTTAGTACACCTCAGTAGTGTTATCTGTTGTTCAGCTGAAAACTGAGCCACGTGGGAAAGTTCACTTCCAGACCTGAAGAGTGACTAAGGATTGCAGGGCTTCCACCAGTCTCTGTCCGACTTGGAAACCTGGTCTTTTTTTTTTCATTTTTCATTTTATTCCACATTTTTCTCCCTCTATCCAGGACCTTCTACTGGGATCCCTTTCAGAGCAGTTGGTAGTGGGAGCTGGGCACCATCTAGTTCTTCTGGTCTCAGGGCTGTGGATACTGAGGGTCATGTGGCCCGCTAGTCCACTAGTGCATCGTCCATGCAGTGTTGATTTTCATCTGTCATCTTTACTCTGAACACAGCGGGAGCAATAGTTGCATGTTTGATGGCTGTCAGGAGCTCTTCAGACTCCATTCTGAGTCAGTTTCTGTATGTGGTGTGAGGTAGGGGAAAATACAGTTGAGTTTTGTATATTAACCTGTATACTCTGCTCTTGTTGAACACACTTGATCTAGTAGTCTGGTAGTATTTTTGTATATATATTCTTTAGGACAATTTTTACATTGACAATCATGTCACCTGCAGATAAAAGACTTTTTTCCATTTGTAATCGATGTCATTTTTCTTACTGTGCTGCTCTTGGTAGGACTGCTAGTACAGTGATTAATATGAATGGTAAGAGCGTATTGTTGCCATGTTCCTGATCATGTGGGGAAGCATTCGGCTTTTGACTATCAAATTTGGTGTGAGATGTAGTTTTTGTAATTTTATTTTTTTAACCAAAAATGTTTTATTTTAGCCTTTTTTTAAAACTAGCTCTTTCTGGAGCTTTCATTTCTCTATCTTAGGGTCAGGAGTTTGAAACTACCAACCGTTCCGTGGGACAAAGATGAGGCTTTCTGCTCCCATAGAGATTTACAGCCTCAGAAATCCCTGTGCAGGGTCGCTATGAGTCGGAACCAACTCCACGGCACATAACTACCACCACCACCATATAGATACAAGTTTCAGTTTTAGTGTTAAATATTTACTCTGCCTGAAAAACTTTCTTAAAGTTCTTGACATGCATATCTAATGTTGTTTCAGTCTCTAAGTTTTGTCTGAGAAAGTCTCTTTTTCTCCTTGTTTTTGAAAGACATTTTTACTGGTTATAGAATTCTGGGTTATTACGTCATTATGTCCCCACAGAGCGTGCGCCACCTTAACTGGGCCATTAATCTCACTCGTTTGTCAGTGATGTGATGATGTTGTTTGACAGTTACATAATGATGCAGTTGTCCCCCATGATGTCATCTGATGTGGTCAGCCAATCCATTTTCCGGGGACAAGGGTGGGATGAATGCCCTTACTCAATTCACCTCCCTGCTGCTGCTTTAAGGGACACTAGGTTTCTGTCGAAGTCGACGAAAGACTTTTGGAAACAGAAGTTTACATTCCCTCACAGGTCAGGAGGCTGTATGCCCAAATCCAGGGCACCAGCTCCGGGGCAGCTTTTCTCTCTTGGCTGTCTCTGGGGAAGGTCCATGTCTCATCCCAGAGTCTGGGGGCCTGACGTTCCTGAGAGCTGTCCGGGTGCCCTGGCACCAGTTGTCCCTCTGTAGGACACCCTCAGGGCAGGCACTCTGGGTCCAGAGGCCGTGCTGCACTCTTTTCTTGGTCATACTGAGGTCCCCCTCTCTCTGCTTGCTTCTCTGTTTTTTTTGTTTTTTTTTAAATGTTGTGATAAAAGATGCATAACACAGAAGTTGCCATTTTTAAACATGCCAATCAGTAATACTTCACTCCACTCGCTGTAACCATCACCAACTCCTGTCTGTTATTACAGCCATCCCCTTGGGGGAGTTCTGCTGTGGCAGCACTGGAGAACTAAGTCGATGCATAACTGCCAAGTTACGTCACTGCCACATATTGAGAATTGTGGTCCCATGAGGCTGACACATGACCGTAGGCACCACAGCTAGCGTTACTGTGCAGAGTAGTCAGGAGAACAACACGCTTGTAAGAGGGTACGGCTGTTAAGTGCCATCGAGTTGGTTCCAACTCACAGTGATCCTGTATAGGATTTCTGAAGAGCAACTGGTGGGTTTGAACCACTGACCTTGTAGTTCAAACTCACCTTTCAGTCCACCACATTATCCTGCAACACCACACCAGAACTCATAAATATAATTTAAGCACTAAACACATACACACACACCAGATATACATACATGTAGACACAGAGGTATATATTGTTGTTGTTATGTGCCGTGGAGTTGGTTCTGACTCATAGCGACCCTGCATAGGGTTTCCGAGGCTGTAAATCTTTACGGGAGCAGAAAGCCTCAGCTTTCTCCCGCGGAACAGCTGGTAGTTTTGAACTGCTCACCGTGAGATCAGCAGCCCGATTCGTAACCACTACACTACCAGAGCTCCTTAGAGGTATATATACACATGACTATATACGTACACATATGTATCATAATTTTTTTTGTTGTTGTTTTTTGGTCTGTGGAAAAGGTACATGTATTGAACAGTAAAACCTTGGGCTTGGTAGCAGTAAAGTTCAGAAAACCTTATTTCCCTTTTTCATAATTAATGAATTGTAATTGGTTCACTTGCACTACCTGTGTGGGTGTGCATGCACACATGTGTGTGTATGTGTGTATTTGAAGTCTTTGTAGTGTCTAAGTTCATTTATTAAACAGGATTGTAGATGATGTGGTATGGCACTGTACAATAAGCACCATGAAAATTAGTTTTCCTAAAATTTTTTTACGATAGAAAAAAACAAAATCCACTGCCTTCATGCCACCTGTAGTCTTTCTGAGGAGCAGTTGGTGAGTTTGAACCACCAAGCTTGAGTCACCAACTGCTCCTCAGAGAGACTACAGTGTTGCTAAGAGTCAGAACCAACTCAACGATACATAACGGCAATAACAAGACTGATTAAAGGAGCTTGGTGGCATGGTGGTTAAACGCTTAACTGCTCACTGAAAGGTTGGTGGTTCAAACCCACCAGCTGCTACCCAGGAGGAAGATAAGGCAGTCTCCTGTAAAGACTACAACCTTAGAAACCCCATCGGGCAGTTCTAACTGGTCCTGTAGGATAACCAGCAGTTGGAATTTGACTTGAAGGCAGTGGATTTTGTTTTTTCTATCATAAAAAAATTTTAGGAAAACTAATTTTCAGGATGCTGTGGTGTTTTTAACTTTCATTTCTTAAATTATTATAGCAGGATAGCATTTTTTATATTGTAAAGGCAAGAACATCGATTTTTAAAAAATATTTTAACAACAACGTTGAAAACAACCACAAACAATAAAAAGGTATGACTTTTAAGATGGAAACCGGTTTCTGGCTTCTTTTAGGAGCTGGTGGCTTTGTGAAATGATGTTTGGTTCCGTCCGTTGCGAGTATTGATTGGATTTGATCTCTCCTTGCTGCAGGTGAAATGGGCCAGGGAAAATTACCACCATCACCTCGGCTCACCCTATTCCTTGCGCCTAGCTTCCGCCGATGCCAACGGGAAGATCATCGTTTGGGATGTGGCGGCTGGAGTAGCTCAGTGTGAGATCCAAGAGCATGCCAAACCTATCCAGGGTGAGGGCCGCCAGGTCGCATTTATCTGTGTTGCATCCAGTCAGCTCTTGATGTGGGGAGCCTGTTCTTCTGACTGAAATGCAGCTTTCTTTCCCGTCCCAGGACGCTGCTGGTCATGACTGCTCCCGTCTCAGCTCGGCCGTGCTTTGGGAACACGCGTCTCTGTCAGCCTCGGCCACAGTCATGGCTGAGCTGCTCATTGGAAGTAACCCTGGGGCTTACTTCCGGTGACAGAGATGGCTGGAATTTTATTTTCATGATAAACTTGTGTTTGTTATGAAATGTTTATACTGACTGTTAGTGGGCTCGAGTGGCTGTTTCTCTACGGCACTCATCTCAAACCAGAACAGGGTTCTTCAGACTCACGGGTTTCACTCGGTAGCTTTCCCCATTCGTGTAAAATTTTGTCATCAAGCACTTCCTGTCTTCTAGGTGCTGAACTAGATCTCTGTCTGGTGTGCTGGTGAGAAAAATCTGCAACATCCCATTGGCTAATTGCACAGAAGTATTGCTAGGGGAGTCTTTGATTTTGTAACATTTTAAGCAGTTATTAATGCAGATTTCTTTTTTATTGTACCTGAAATCATATTTCAGCTTGCTTGAACATTTCAAATTTGAGATCTTAAGCAGCTTATTTTTATGTGAAAGGAACGTTCAGTACCATCGTCACACAGCCACACGTGTCGCCCCTCGGGGGTTTATGATTTTGATGACCACGTATGAAGGACACGTTAATAAAGTGTCCTTTGAAGTGGCTGGTTTCTGAATTTTGCCTGTCCTTGTTGGTCTTTGCAGACGTGCAGTGGCTGTGGAATCAGGATGCTTCCCGGGATCTACTGCTTGCCATCCACCCTCCAAATTACATCGTGCTCTGGAATGCAGACACTGGTACCAAGCTTTGGAAAAAGAGCTACGCAGATAACATTCTTTCTTTCTCTTTTGACCCTTTTGATCCCTCGCACTTAACACGTGAGTACTAGTCCCTGGTAGGAACTAAGTAAGACATTTATAATGTTGATACTCTTACCTATGTATAACATGCACATTGCATACTTGTCACAGTAAAGTGACTGAGCAAAGTGGAGAAGTGTAAGCAGCCCATTTCTCCGCAGTTCTGACACAGCTGCTCAGTGACAGCCCTGTGTCATTTATAAGTACTTCCATGGTTAGAAATTCAAGTCAGCAAGCTTCACCGTCACTCTGATGAAGGTGTGAGTAGAGTTAGACTAGCCAGAAACAAAGAGCTGTTTGATGCTGACATTCAGACATAATTAGCTCTTTTTCTTGGAAAACTTGAAGAACTTGAGTTAAGAGTGTTTAGTCTCTGTCCAAAAGAAGCAACAGCCAAGAAAGCAAATGATGTATTGCAATAAGCAGAAATGCTGCAAAAGACCTCCTGAGAAGTGTTAAAGGAGCAGAGCTGTCACTTTGAGGACCAAGTTGTGCCTGGCCCAAGCCATGGTGTTTTCAGGTGCCTCATTATGTGAGAGTTGGACAGTGAATATGGAAGACCATAGAAGAATTAATGCATTTGAATTATGACGTCGTTGAAGAATATTGAAAGTACCATGAACTTCCAGAAAAACAAGCACAAATCTGTGTTGGAAGCAGTACAGCCAGAATGCTCCTTAGAAGTGAGGGTGGTGAGACTTTGCCTCTCAGACGTTAGACATATTGTCAGGAGGGACCAGTCCCTGGAGAAGGACATCATGCTTGTTAAAGAGGAGGGTCAGTGGAAAACAGGAAGACCCCCAACAAGATGGACTGACACAGTGGCAAGAGCAGTGGAGTCAAATGTAATAGTTGTGTGGATTGTGTAGGAGCAGATCATCATTTCATTCTGTTGCTGTGATTGGAATGGACTCAGCAGCACCTAACAGCAACAACAATGTCCTAATTAAGTTCTTCCTTTAAAAAAAAATGTTCTGATTTATACCTCTGTTTATTGAGAGCTATAACAGATGGATGTAGGGAACGGAATTAGCCCAGGGGATTTTTTCTTGGGAGATGTGCTTTGATGTTTTCCTGAGCTGCTGATCTAGGGCGGGTCTAGTCTAGAAAGCTTGCTGTGACTGAGTTGTTGACAACAGTCTTGATGCGGTCATCCAGCAGCGAGTTCTTGAGCCCCTAATGTGCGTCAGGCCCTGACTCGGGGCTCTGGGGTCTATCAGTGAAGCAGGCTGATGATCCCCGCTTTCTCAGAATTTCAGTCATGGAAGAGCACGTGTGCTGCTCAGTGTGTGCTGCTGCCACTTGGCCTGTTCTTGGTGTGTGAGGCTAAGTCAGAAAGCATTGCTGCAACAGCATGCTCAAGAGTTTCAAATGGTGTTTCTTTTCAATGTTCTTTTGAATTTGTGGTACAAAACTCTGAAGGGGCAAGACAAGGGCTAGAGAGATCATGGGGGTAAGTTTTCCCGCTGAAATGCTCACAGGACTGTCGTGGTTACCCTGGAAGAATGAGCACATGCGTTGTTCTCTTGGAAAAAACTTTCTCAGTGCAGCATTTGTGGCCTTTTCCTCACTGTTTTCAGTTTTCTTAATACTCCTCCATAATAAATGGCTGCGACCATCCATCACGATCACCTCTTCGGGTTCCCCAGAGTCAGTAACTGTAACTTCTAAGCGCACTTTCTGCCCTGAAGTGGCCCAGCAGACTCTCCCTTGGAAGCCACTGTTTTGATCAGATGTTGCTCTCTGGATCCTCTTGGTAAATCCCAGACTCATCCGTCGTTAGCATTGCTTCCATAAAATCATCATTATTAGCTTTGACCTTGCTTAAAAGACAGATGGAAAGATGAGCTCTTTGAGCTAGCTAATCTCACCGCACTGTTGGCACCCATCCAGCTGAAAACCTGCTGACGCCAAAATATTCACTTAAAATTGAAAATGCCAGCCCATGCAGGATGCCAACTTTAATAGCTGTCACATCAATGGTAATTCTGTGGTGGCCTTTATTCAGTTTCTGGACTTGAGCCATACTTTCTTCATTTTGTCGAGGTTGATGCTCTCTCGTCTCACCTTTGAAGTCTTGCCAACCTCCACAAACATGCTTGATCCATCTAAAAACTTGTTTTCTGTGGGAAGCATTCATATAACCTTGTTGCAAAATTGTAATGATTTGGGATAATATCCATTAAGTTTTGTTAAAATTTTCATACTAGTCCTAACCTCAAAATCATGTTTTCCTATCTCAAAACAAAACAAAAAAATCCTGTTTTTGAAGGAAAAAACACAAAGACACATACATTAGAGAGCTTTCCTGCAGCCATCCACTGGCCTCAGAGATGTGTTTAAACACATTTTGTTTGGACTAAACCATGCATCTAGGAACCCCAGAAATGATACTCACTACTGTGCAAGCCATTGTTGGACTCTTACTTTTTCCCCTAAATATAAATAGAAAAGGTTGCTCTTTTTTTTTTTTTTTTAAAGCTTTTATTGTGCATTGAGTGATAGTTTACATGAGAGAACAATCAGTTTTGCACTTATCTCTCGTATTTCATATCAGTGCAATGACTAAAATCCCCTCCATACATCACTATTTAACAGTATTTGCTTCTGTTCTTGTGTTTGTTTTTTTTCTTTTTGATGTCCACAAAAAACACTCAGGAAAATATAATCATTCAAACAACCAAAGGGCACATTCTACAAGCCTGCCTCTTGGCTGCCAGCACACAGCCTTTCTCTTTCCATGAGTCTAGAGTCCTCAGCTGCTCCACTCTCCATGTCCTCATCTCTGCCTCCATCTCTGGTGTTACTTCTCTGGATAAAGTCCCACATTCCACTCATGCTCTTCTCCCTTGATGGTCCTTGGGTCGGTCTCCTGTCCCTGAACTGTAAGATTAATTACGTCCCCCTGTATGTTACAAAACTTCTAGGAAAAGATCACTCTTAACACATTCTAAGGTTGAATCTAGACTTAGTAGCTCATGGTAATCATAACAAATTTAGGTTCACAAATCAAATATTTGAACTTGTGAATCGTGATATGCAAAGTCTCGACTGAAATTTTTTTATACTGAAGAGTCATTGAAATATGAAGTTATGGGATGCAACAAGAAGGAGTTTTTCATGCGAGTTCATGCTCTGAATATATTCAGAAGAACAAACATTTGTTCATTCTGCCAATAACCTTCTGGTATTTTTAAAATATAAACATTAATTTAGAATGCTGAGCTTAGAGCCCTCTGATGAATTGTAATAGACCACCTGTTTCTGTCCAACTTGGAGAATGTTCCCACCGTGCTTGGGCAGCCAAATGCTGCCAGTTCTGTATTAAAATGATCATTACCTTGTTCTCAGGATTGTATTGGAAAAAAAATTCTAGGCTTAACTAAAAGTTTAATCAGGGCTTTATGTCTCTCACTCTAGTGCTCACCAGTGAGGGTATTATATTCATCTCTGACTTCTCTCCATCCAAGCCTCCCTCTGGCCCTGGGAAAAAAGTGTACATCTCCAGCCCCCACTCCAGCCCGGCTCATAACAAGCCGGCTGCCACCACAGGTGCCAAGAAGGCATTGAATAAAGTGAAAATTTTAATCACTCAAGAGAAGCCTAGGTAAGTTGTAACTGATTTTTTTTCATCTCTCCTTTTCTTGTTTCTAGTTTTGGATTTATGAAAGAAGAAATACTCTTTTTAGTCTCTTATGAAGGAGCTCTGGTAGAGTAGTGGTTACGAATCAGGCTGTTAATGTCAGGGTCAGCAGTTAGAAACTACCAGCTCTTCTGCGGGAGAAAGATGAGGCTTTCTGCTCCCATAAATAATTACAGCCTCGGAAACCCTGTACAGGGTCACTATGAGTTGGAACCGAATCCACGGCACATAACAACAATATGAAGAGAAGACTCAGTATTTAATATGATTTCTGTTTCCACTAGTTGATTTTTATAGAGTACAACTTTTGACTTCTCAATTTTATATCTGATAATATGAAATGAAGATATTAATGTTGAGAGTAGATCAAACTATGGATAGCACTGCAAAGAATGGGTATTCCAAAACAGCTAATTGTGCTCATTAGGAACCTATACTTAGATCAAGAGGCAGTCGTTATAACAGAACAAGGGACTACTAAAGGTTTAAAATCAGGAAAGTTGTGTGTTAGGGTTGTATCCTTTCACCATACTTACTCAGTTTGTATGCTGAGGAAATAACTCAAGAAGTGGATTATATGAAGAAGAAGGTGGCATCAAGATTTAGAGGAAGATGCATTAACGGCCTGAGATATTCAGATGACACAACCTTGCTTGCTAGAAACAGAGGACTTGAAATCCTGATGAAGATTAAAAACGACAACTTTCAGTATGGGTTGCACTTCAATGTAAAGAAAACAAAAATCTTCACAACTGGAGCAATAAATTGTTGTTGTTTGGTGCCCTCCAGTCGGTACCGACTCATAACGACGTTATGCACAGCAGTACGAAACACTGCCCGATCCCGGAGCAACCTGACTACTGTTGTCATGCATCGATGCTGCCACTGTGCCAATCCATTTTGTTGGGGGTCTTCCTCTTTTTCTCTGACTCTCCACCTTACCAAACATGATATCCTTCTCCAGTGACTGGTCCCTCCTGACAATATGTCCAAAATATGAGAGATGAAGTTTGGCCATCTTGGCCTCCAAGGAGCACTCTGGCTGCACTTCTTCCAAAATGGATCTATTGGTTCTTTTGACAGCCCATGGCACTTTGAATATTCTCCTCCAACACTGTAACTCAAAAGCATCAATTTTTCCACGGTCTTCCTTGTTCACTGCCCAGCTTTCGCATGCATATGAGGTTATTGAAAAGGACAGCAAAGATGTCCTTAAGCTGACATCTTTGCTGTTCAACACTTTAAAAAGGTCTTGTACAGGCGATTTGGCTAATGAAATATATCGTTTGATTTCTTGACAGCTGCTTCCAAGAGTGTTGATAGTTGATCCAAGAAGAATGAAGTCCTTGACAGCTTCAATCTTTTCTCTGGTGATAAGAATGTTGTTTATTGGTCCAGTGGTGAGGATTTTTGTTTTCTTGACATTGAGATATAATCCACACCGAAGGCTGTGCTCGTTGATCTTCATCGGTAAATGTTTTAAGTCGTCTTTGCTTTCAGCAAGCAAGGTTGTATCATCTGCATATCGCAAGTTGTTAATGAGTCTTCCTCCAATCCTGATGCCACGTTTTTCTTCCTATAACTCCACTTCTCAGATTATTTGCTCAGCATATAGCGTGAATAAGTATCGTGAAAGAATACAACCCTGTTGCACACTTTTCTTCATTTTAAACCTTTGAGTGTTTCCATATTCTGTTCCAACAACTGCCTCTTGGTCCATGTACAGATTCCTCATGAGCATAATTAAGTGTTCCGGAATACTTATACTTCGAAATGTTGTCCATAGTTTGTCATGATCCTCACAATCAAAAGCCTTTGCGTAGTCAATAAAGCACAGGTAAACATCTTTCTGCTTTCAGCCAAGATCCATCGGACATCAGCAATGAT